TAACTGCGGTGGGGGCGGGGGTGGGGTCAACGCCGAGCGGGTCCCTCACTGGCTCTTGAGGGAGCCCGTGATCACAGCCCTGGTGCCGGGCAGGAGGAGCCAGGCTTTTCGTGGGGGGGGGTCTTCTTGCCTGCCTACACCCCTTTCTCTGCTTGCAGCAGTAGAGCTGACGTGAGGAGGAGGGGGCATCAAAATACAAGTTAGGCCAGGGTGTCATTTTCCCTAAGGCTGGCTCTGAGCAGACCATGTGCAGCCAAGCAGGAGCCCTTTTCCCTGTTTCACCTGCGCTTGAGTGCCCAGTCTCCAGCATAGGCAGACGAGGTTCTTTGGGTGAATCAGGTATCTTTTATTAGGCCAGCTTGAATAGTTGGGAAACTTTTTTTTTCTTTTTCAAAGCAAGCTTTCAGGTTTAAAACCCCTTTGCCAGGCTGAGGAAGTCTCTGCAGATGGTGCGTGCTCTACCAGGATGGAATGAGTAGTAAAGAAGCTGGGCTGGGCTGTATGCAAGACAGCATGGCATTCATTTGCCGTGGCAGTGGAGAGATCATGCCCTGCCTGGGCCCTTGACCAGATCAGAGCAGGTGATAGGTGATGGGCCCTGCATCAGCTGACCACCCAAGAAAGAGATATGGGAGTCCCTGTGGAAGGTTTGCTGCTAGCATCGGCTCGGTGCTCAGAAGCTGGCAAAAAGGCAAACAGTGTTAGAGATTATTAAAGGAATTGTGAACACAATAAGAAGTATTATCGTGTCCCTTTATACATCCATGGTGCATTCACACATGAAATACTGCACCTGGTTCTCGTTCCCATGCCCCAAAAAGGACAGAGAACTCCAGAGAAGGGCAGTGAGGATGATTAGCAGTATGGAGGGGCTTTCACATGAAGAGGGACTCAAGAGGTTGGGCTTATTCCGTTTAGAAATGACACTTGAAGGGGAAATTATGAGGGCTTACAAAATACTAAATGGCAAAGAGAAAGGAAATGGGGATTTATCACTTGTTCTCTTACACTGCAAGAACTAGGGGTCCCAATTAGATGAGTAGGTTGTAAATTTAAAACAAAAGGGGGTTCTCTTTTATGCAGCATGTAATTAAAGTGTGGAACTCATTGCCTCCAGATGTTGTGGAAGCTGACACCTTAGCCAGGTTTATTTGGACAGCTAGGGAGGAGTATACAAGTATTGCTCCAGCATGCAGGGATGAAATCAGGAAGGCCAAAATATAATTGGAGTTTCAGCTAGCGGAAGAAGTGAAGGGTAATAAGAAGGGTTTCTATAAGTACATCAGTAACAAAAGGAAGATC